CTTAGCCGGCAGGCAAAGGCATTCATGGAACATTAACCGACAAAACAGCTCCTCAAACTCTCTCTTACCTCCCTTTCTCCCCCCCCCCATTTTAACCCGTGAAATGGGGGGCCCTCATTCTGTACGTGTGCTCTCTCCCAGTGTCCAGTCCTTCATTTTTTATAATTCATGCGGAAGGGCTCGTGGAATCAATGAACTCCGGATCACGTTCCCTGTTGCCCCTTGGCGTACAAGGGTGATGACAAGAAAGGAAAGGAATTTGAATCAGAAGAGTGGGTTTGCAGACATCTTATAGGTCATGGTCAAGGGACGAAAGTTCCTAGTGACGCCTGGCGGAATATGATTGCACACAAAGCCTTCTAGTGCGACGCACAGAGAGCTGCTCTTCTGAACGTTGGACCCCCCCCCCTACGACTACGCCATTCAGCTAGTCCCTCTCGCGACACTCCCTCTCGTGACCCCCTCTCGCCATTAGTCTCATGAAACGAAATTCACCAGTGAACATGAACAATGGCGTAGCGTGATTGGCATGGGCCCTGGTGCAAGGAATGAAACGGGGCCCGACGTCCAATTCCTTACTATTGAATTATGTGAGAGTCATATTTTTTTTGCAAGTTTTCTCTGGCATCATATGAATCGTCGTCGGTTGCTGAAGTCAGTGTGGAAGGCAGTGGCGGATTCAGAAATTTTTCGTAGGGGGAGCACGTATTCTAGTTCCCAGCCCCCACCCACTGCTACTTCATGCAAATCCTTACGTGTTTATTTTCTCCGAGGGCCCCCTGGAAAAATGGGGCCCGGGGCAACAACCCCGTTTGCTCCCCGCCTTTATCCGGCCCTGGGTGAATGGCATTGGAAGTGGCCACCACTATCGTCTGACCACACGAAGCGGCATCCCAGACACTCAGGGCCGATTGCATGAACGATGTTTTCCCGGTGTTTTTCGAAAGTCATCGGTTAACCGATGCCTAAGGCCAAAAATGGATTGCATGAACGCTATCTTCCTTTAACCATCGTCTAACCGATGTCTAACAGAAGCCGAAAAAGGTGACGTTACCAGACAAGGGAATGGGGCATNGTGTTTAGCCATCGTCTAACCATCGGCTATGAAAACATGGCTTAGGGATCGTTCACGCAATCGAAAGTAGACAGCGGTTAAACGATGTTTTCGTAGACAATGTTTAAACAATGACTATCGATAATCAATGTATAAAAAAAAAATCGTTCATGCAATCGGACCTATATGTCTGTGGGCAGTGTGGCGTTGAATTCCTTGGATTCCTTTTGACCTCCCTTTTCGGCTGGTGGCTCCCAGCTAACACCCCCCTCCAATTAGGTAGGTCTAATAATTGCTTAGTAGTTCGTTTCAGTTATGAGTTTAGGCTTATAAACCGCGACCTCAATGAGGGCGGATTTTTAGTCCTAGTGCGTCCCTGGTCTTCCCTTTGTCAAGTGCGAGACTATCCGCAAGTGAAAAAAACGAAGCAGGCCCAATTAAGTGGATCCAGGGTGGGTATGAGCGAGCGCGGAAAGGCCATGACGCAGAGGTGTGCGAGAAAAGGGACTATATATCCCCATGGTGGAGTAGATCCCAGAAGATTAACGCCCGTAGGTAAAGGCATTCACGGAGCTGAACCTGTAATCTTGCTCCTAAAACTCTCTCATCCACTCCCCTGCAACCACCGTCGGACTTCCTTCCCCCATCCCCCCTTTAACACGAAAAAGAGGGGGGCCCTCATTCTGCATGTGTGCTCCCCCCCAGGCAGGAGTCCTTTCTTTTATTTATTTTTTAGCGGATGGGCTCGAGGAATCAGTGAACTCCGGATTAAGTTCCCTGTTGCCTCTTGGCAGACGAGCGTGATGACAAGAAAGGAGAAGAATTGAAATAAGAAGAGTATGGTTGCAGACTACCTATAGATCATAGTGAGGGGTCGAAAGTTAAGATTGACACCTGGCGGAGTATGATTGTACCTAAAGCCGCCTAGAGCAACGCACAGAGAGCAGCTCGTCTGATCGAAGGTCCCAGCCCCCTGCCCCCACCCCCCCGCCGCCGCCCCTACCCCCTAGTGTCGGCGCACCTACGCGAGAGACCGTAATTACTGGAAATAAAACGCACAAATGTCAGCGAGTCCCAGTCACTGAAACGGCAAATATTAGAATCGAACATCGGCTCATTCGAATGGAAGAAGACGTCCATCACACAGTCACGCTAATAAAAAAAAATCCTTTTAAAATTTTTTTTTACTTCCAGCTCGCTCCTCCGAATATATATTTAATACCTCGGCAATTCCATGAGAACCGACACGCTGCTGACTTTTTCTCCAGTGTTTCTCACCAGGAACCATGCACCGCCATAGCAACCCCAGAGTTTTTTTCATTGTCCATAATGAAGAAACATTGCAATTATTAGGACCCATAGCGAGTCAACTGTTTTCCCGTGATCGAATGGATCATCGAGAACCCGTTACAAACGAGCCTCTCCAACGACTTTGATCTGGCACATGCCACATTAAAAAACATGAATTTAGAAACATGCCTTGTGGCATTACTGCTTAATATTTTAACTGAAAATTTGCCCCTTTCCGCTTTTCAAAGGTGACTAGAAAGTGGAAAGCCAAATTGCTTCAGGTCTCAGGTCGCTGGGCTTCATTTCCCACCAATCTTCACTGAAAGTGTTCTGCGAACGCGCCTTCATCCCTAGTCACCAGTTTTCCTGATGATTGTACCCAAAGCCGCTTTGAGCGAAGCACAGAGAGCAGCTCGTCTGATCGAAGGCCCCTGCCCCCTGCCCCGTCCACGCAAATCACCTAGTGCGATGCAGGTTGCTCTGAGCCAGTATCTTTCCGGGAATACTCACAAGGCGGTAGGAAAAAAAGAGAAGAAAATGTCTTGGTCTCCTCAGAAGCTTTCGAAGCATTCTAGGAAGATCTTCAATCGAATTCTGAAATTCGAAATTGGCAGTTGGTGAGAATCACGGAATCTTTCCAACGAGGCGAGTTGCGGTACTGTTCCTGCTTTTTCTTGAAAAGCTGCGGAAGCGACCTGAGACCTGAAGCAATTTGGCTTTCCACTTTCTAGTCACCTTTGAAAAGCGGAATAGTAGTGCGGATTTTAGCTTTTCGTCGAGAAAGAAGAAACCCTTGTTCTTGAAATCCTTCAATCCCGATTCTATGAGAAATTCCGCAACGCCCCCGAAGTCTTCCTCCAGATTGCAAATGCAAACAGCTGCAACTCGTCGGCATCGTCCATCACGTTCAAAGCGCCTCAATTTTTTTTCAAGGAAAGAAGGATCAACTGTGAGGGTACCAGTACTTCAAGTTGCTCTCAACAGTCGTCAAATTAGCTATGGGAATCGTGCACAACACTCATCTTTGAGCAAGAACTTCACACACGAAAGCAATGACATTCTTGATGAATGACATTCATGAGGAGTGACATCATTCATGTTGAACGACGGGATTTGTTACGAATGACATCGTTGGGAGTGGCTGGAGGCTCTTATTTGCTGAGCGCACCGATGTCGTTTGTCAAAGGGCATTTCACCTATTAAAGCATGTGAAAAGGTCGAAAGAGCATAGTGCCCATGAATAAATAAATAAAAAATTTCATCTTCTACATAGGGTTATACAAACCCAAATAGGGTTTGAAAACAACATGGACCGACACAACTTTTCAGTGTCGGCTCACCTGCGCGAGAGACCGCAATTACTGGAAATAAAACACACAAATGTGAGTGAGTCCCAGTCACTTAAACGGCAAAGATTAGAATCGAACATCGGCTCATACGAATGGAAGAATACATGCATCACACAGTCACGCTAATTAAAAAATTCTTTTTTTTTTATTTATTTCTTTTTTTACTGCGAGCTCGCTCCTCCGAACATACATTTAATACCTCGGCAATTCCATGAGAACAGACACGCTGCTGACTTTTTCACCAGTGTCCGGAACCTGTCACAAACTTCCACGACTTAGACCATGCAACATTACAATTGGAGATTCTCATTTCTATGCAGAAAAACATTTCTGGGCAATCCTCTCCTTCATATTAGTCCCTTTTTTGCTTTTCTAAAGGTAGCATGAAAGTGGAAAACTCAGTCATTTCAGGTCCAAGGTCAAGGGTAATTCCAAGGTCCAAGATCGAAGGTCTTTTCCTGAATTAATGCTTTTAATCCACCTCCAGGGTGTCATTTGCACATTTGATTCCATCTCTTTGCATCTTTTCGAGAGGCAATTCACTTCTTTCATAGCTCTGTTTTCTGACAGAGACCGAATTTTGCTTTGGTTTAAAGTTGTGAAACTAACCAAGCATAAAAGCATTTAGATATCTTATAAAGTATAGAAATACGTGTGTATATCCATGTTGCATATTACCACTACGAAGAAACAGGTTATTTATACATTCATGGCACAATTCATTTTACGGCGAACAGAAGCAGGAAGAAGCTTTCAAAAGGTATAAATGCGCTTTGTCGGCATGCTATATTTCTCGAGAGAGCAAATTGCAATGGGACACGGAACTCTATCGTACGATCAACGATACGTTGGAGAAGGAAACGCCATTCGCGTTATGGCGGCCTCGGAAAATACAAACTCGTAACTTTCGCTCTGCATAATTGAAAGGAGCCTCTACCCTTTGTCCTTTTCCACCGGTTCGTCTTGCATAATTTAGAGCAGCTGTCGACTTCGGGGAAAACAATTGCCGCCACTGAGGGGAATGCGATCTGCAATCGAAGGAGCTTTCACCGCGTTTCAATCTATCCCCTTCCGTAGAAGTTTTTTAGTTTTTTAGTTTTTACAATCCCGGAAAGCTTATGGGTTGACAATGTGTCCCGCCCGTGAATTTTTTATTATCCCTCCCCAAAAACACGGAGAAATATAAAATTTGAAATTGGAAAGGAAATACTGAAGATGCTGAATTTCCTTCTGAGCATTGGAATCGGGAAATAAGCGATGAATACTCTCATGAACGAGATCATCGACATCTGGGAAGAGACAATCTCATGAGTCAAACATGAATAAATAACCTTTGCAAAAATATCTTTTTTTTTTCCACTGCAAAAGTATACTCTCCATTTTGAAGTATCTATGATACTATTGACATGAACGAAGCCGAAGTATCGTCTGGGCATCACCGCCTACTTTTGCAAAGGGGGTTTCCATATATTACATGTTGAAAGTCTTCTTGGAAGAGTGATGTGACTCCAAGTGCTTGGAGTCTGCTTGGACTGCTTCAACGGGATGTTCCAATGATAAGTTGCAAGGAAGAAAGGGTAAGGAACGGTCTGTAATTTCATGCCGTGGAACGATTCATTTCTTCAAGATGACAGAGAAATGGAAAACTGGATATGGAAACACCTTGCAGAAGATAAAAAAAAGTCGAAAGTCTGGTGAAAAATCTGTCATTTGGGAATATCCGGCGTTTCCTCGACGTCGAATCTTCTCGAAATGTTCGACTTAGGTCTAACGAGGAGGAGGATCGCCTTGAAGGAAGTTCAGGAAGGATATAAGAACCGGGCGAGCCTCCGCGACGCCGCAGTCTGGTTTCGAGCCTCGTCCGAAGAAGATGAGGTCCCTCTTCTGCTCGGCCTTCTGGTTCAACTGGATGGCGATGGCGCAACGCGATTCGTGGATGTTCTTCCCCGCGAGGAACGCGGGCGTGATGGTGGCGTCGCCCCTTCGTGAGTTTTCTGCTCACTTGGAAGTCCAATGTGCAGTGGCCTGCATCAGGTGAGTTGTCCGGGGGTGGTTTTCTAATTTCCGGTTCAATGTCATTTAGAATTGAATTTTTTTATGACGTTCAGATTTTTTTCGGTCTTTGGAAGTAATTCAATTGCAGCATGATGACATTACTCATGAGATTAGCTGAGAGACTCGGAGTGCCTTGAATTATTTTTTTGCTGAAAATCCGGGAACTGAGGATCCTCATGAAAAAGCCTGTGTCTTGTTCCCTTACCCACTAGTGCAGTTCGTATTCCATGAAGCACCTTGCGAAGTCCATCACACGATACTTGACTCTTCCTTATTATCCCACGAACTGGCAACTGTCGTACATCCTAAGAGACGTTCATAAGGGCATGGTTCCGCATCGGCTGCCGGTTATTGCCACTTTTGTGCCAATTTTTGCAGCGAGCCGGCGTGCTTCAGCTTCTCCTCGACAAAGTCCGCGGGACTCACGATATGTCGGCTGGCGGACGACTACGACCCGCCGCGGACGGCGGATCCCGACAGCAAGTTCTTCTTCCGGGATGTGCCACCGGGTGAATGCACCTTCGGATGCGCGATTCTCATTTTCCTTGCGGGGAGGCAGCTGGGTGACAGTTGAAAAAATGGTTCTCGTTAAACGACGAAACGATATAACTATACATTTTAACCATAAAAAACTTTATTGATGAAAGCAGGGGGAAATTTTAATATTCAGAAAATAATATACTTTCACGGAGCGGCTAAGATTTGGATGAACAAAATGCGTTCAGAAGGAATAAAAAATTCCAGGAAAACTTAAATTTTGACACTTTGACAGTTGCCTGTAGGTTTCCATCTACCATGACCTAAAATGAAGAATTGATTGTGAAAAAAAAACAAAGATATCGTCCCGAACACATCAGTTCTGCTCACAAGATGAAACATGATTGAATACGCGAATTAAGACCATGACGGTTTCAATAATAAAAAACTTTATTGTGAACACTATATTGTGACACTAAGTAAAATAATTACATACAAATATCTTCCATTACAAGTTAAAATTTCACTTAGTGTATTGTGACACTAAGTGAAATTTTAACTTGTAATGGAAGATATTTGTATGTAATTATTTTTAGTTCCCTCACTCCATCGCCTCGAGGAACGCATTTCCTCCATGAGTATTAAAATGCTATGTGATCCTCGAAAGGCTACAACCTGGTGCCGGGAACAAAGAGCTACCTGAAGATGGTCTGGGACACGTTGGGCTCCGTCGGCGCGGCTGCGAAGTGCGCGGACGACGGAGGAGGGCTGGCCGTCCCGAGCCTGGAGCCTGTGTTCAACTACATCAACAAGAGCCTGATGGACAACGCGTCGAAGATCACCTATCCCTTCTACGTTTTCAGGGTCGATGGGAAGCCGTTGCCGACGAACGGCTATGTTTGGTTGTTCAGGGACGGTGAGTGGAGGCCAAACATTAGCCGTACGTCTGTCGATAGGCAAGACAGGTGTTGCACCGTTTCGCTTTCGCGACGGGCATGATTGTGGCCGCATTAACCCTTCACTCGTGAAGCTAACGTGATTATCACGGTTTACGAAGAATTTTGGAGTAGTGGAAATAGCGTTGGTAAGGAAATATTCCGTAATTGAACGAGTTGTCTCTCCCCAAATAGGTACGAACGTGACATACACTGGAAGAGGTCAAGGCCACTTTCACCCTATCCATCCAACAGGGATTGGTCCATGCCTCGGGGTTGCGTACAATGACATCGGCGCCCCACCGAACACATTCGGCGTCTGGGTGGACTCCCCCTGCACCGACGGCGGCGTCAATGTCGGCGGGTACTTCTGCGAGATCAGGGTCCCCGACGTCACCCCGCGCTGAGGAGCCCGGAAGAGGAACCCTGATGAAAGCAAGAACGTTAAATTTCCCAACATATTCTGTTAAAAAATTTTTTCACGTCGGGTCATTGAAGCACGAATCCTTCGCTAGGAACATTTTCCTTTTTCCTCACCTCTGTTACGAGCACTTCTCACCATGCACCTCACCTGGCGATTTGCACAGGACGCCGCCAAAGCGATATTATTCCTCGATCTCGATGAAGGAATGTCAACAATTGAATACTTGGTTTTTCGAAATTCCTACCTTCGGGCCTGCTTCGGCTCACACGAAGTTCCAACACCTTCAATTCTTACAATGAAAGTTATAGAAATGCTGCGAAAATCCCATTATGACACGCGAATCTTTTTTTGCAAGCGAGACACTTTCGACCTCTTCATCGAAGGCCATCGCTTCATTCCCTACAAGAGAATTATTATTATTATTTATTATTATTTTTCCGTCAGAATCGCTGCTGCTGTGGGGTGGATCTTAAACCTCCTTTAGGGGCGGTAAAGGAAGATTAAAGCAAAGTTACACCAAGTCGCTTTCATGCGATCCACACACGCGGACGCTCATCGTGCAGTCCTGATGCGATTTTTGTGCGATTTTGATTTTTGCGATGGCGATGCCGAATCTCCATGTTCGACGCCTCGGTTGCCTTGCGGTCTGCATGAAATTATTGATTTTCCTTTGACTCTCAAACTCTCATAAACTCTCAAATGCAACAAAATAATGAATTTGCATCGCATATCGAGTTAAACTGGTCCACATTTATGGAACACATAGAATGTAAAGAATTGATGTGTAATTTTCTGTGAAGAAAACGCATACCGTTACGTTCCTGATGCTTTCAGTGGACACCTTTTTCTTCTGTTGGTGATGGAAGTCGAAACATTGGTGATTTCTGGTTCATAAAATGGTCTGATAATCTCACTGCACTACGGTTTTCGCTCGATCAGGCGCGGGACATTGCAAGTGATGAAACGAAGAATAAGGCCCATTCATATTGAAACCGGAAAGGGATGAGCGATGAGAGCAAATTCCCGATCCCGAGGGTGGAGAGAGTGAGGGAGACTGGGGATCATATAACCCCAAGATGGAAGACGCAGTTGACTTTAGCCCGCAGGACAAAAGCTTTCATGTAGCTGAACCTGAAATAAAGCTCCTCGCGAGCTTTCAAAAAGGGATGGTCCTCATTCTGTACGTGTGCTCCCTCCCAGAGCTGAGTCCTTCACTTTTCATATGTCATGCGGATCGGTTCGGAGAATCAATTAACTCCGGATTGCGTTCCCTGTTGCCCCTTGGCTTACGAGGGTGCTGATGAAAAAAGGAAAAGCATTGGAATCAGAAGAGTGGGCTTGCGGACATCTTATAGGTGACAGAGTAGGGTGGAAATTTCCTAGTGACGCCTAGGGGAAGATGATTGCACCCAAAGCCTTCTAGAGCGACGAAAAGAGAGCTGCTCGTCAGAATATAGGACCCCCCTTCACTACGCCATTCACCAAGTCACCTCTATCGACCCATTCCAGGAATAAATTTAATCGCATTCAAAATGGATATTGGTGACTGGAAGACTCTCGGAACCTTCTCAATGAGCCGAGAAACCAGCATCTTCGAAATTGGGAGCATGGGACTGCCGATGCTCAAAAGGAAGGTGAGGATAGAAGGAAGGGAAACCGGATGAATGTCATCAAAGTAGGATGGGGAGACGCTCACTCGTGAATGATCGCTACCATATCAGTCTTCCAGGATGTGGTTATCTTACCTTTTCAGATAAAGTTGAGGACTGCATCGAGTCGAAGTATTGCTCCTACATTTCATAACAAGGTATGCACATCATGTGCCTCGATGGAAAGTGATGGCTGAGCGGATGGAAGACGAGATGGTAATACGTATGTATCAGCGGAGGAGCAGAGTTGCCTGATGATAATGCCTTGAATGGAATTTATTAAATTAATGGGAAAATGGATTAATCTGTTTAGAGAAAAGAATGTTTTCTGTTGACGATCATGCTTTAATGCCTCTACATTTTTCTAAACACTTGTTGGACCGAAACTGGTGCATACTGAATGGGGAACGAGGTGAAAAAGGCGAATGAATATTCATGGCGTGGTCTCCTGCCTTGCCTGACGGTTCTACGAAGCAAACAAGAACCCCTTTGAGAGCCGTGGACTGCACAATCACGAATAATCTGCTTGTTCAACAGCAACCATGCACCGCCATAGCAACCCCAGAGTTTTTTTCATTTGTCCACAATGAAGAAACATTGCAGTTACTTGGACCCATAGCGAGTCAACTGTTTTCCCGGGATTGAATGGATCATCGAGAACCTGTTACGAACGAGCCTCTAAAACGACTTTGATCTGGCACATGCCACATTAAAAAACATGAATTTAGAAACATGCCTGGTGGCATTACTGCGTAATCTTTTAACTGGAAATATGCCCCTTTCCGCTTTTCAAAGGTGACTAGAAAGTGGAAAGCCGAATTGCTTCAGGTCTCATGTCGATGGCCTTCATTTCCCACCAATCTTCACTGAAAGTGTTCTGCGAACGCGCCTTCGTCTCTAATCACCAGTTTTCCTGCACAAAGTGCTGAAAGCCGAATATTAGGTACGAATAAAACCAGTCTTTAATTACATAAGTTACTACTCCGTACCATATCGATTGCGAAATGTGTCAGTCGGAAAGCATCGGTCGGGTCGGGTCGTCCCGTCCGACTCGACGGGGAATTCCATGAAAACGGCAAACTGCAGACTTTTCTCTAGAGCCGCATTAAGAACGGGGATTCGTACGCAGAAATGGGCATTTCTGCGCGAAATTCCTATCGAGAATTTGCCCCTTTTTGATATTTATTATCGTCTCTAGCCCCCTGTTTACAGCACAAAGTGGAGAAAGCAGTATCAGACTACTAAGTAACTTACAAATAAAACCAAACTTAAATGACCGTCCTAATCCAAGTTAATACTCTGTACCATATTAAATGCAAATGTACCAGCATGTCAAACGTTGAATGCCAGTCTCCAAACGGCTACGTACTAACGAGAGGCAGGCTTTGGAGAGGAATGTCGCATTCAAAGTTGCTGGGAAGAGATTCAGTAAATGAAAGCGTACTTTCCTGATGCGTTCAGCGGACACCTTTTTCCTCGGCCGGTGATGGGAATTACAACACAGGCGTTTTCTGGTTGATAAAAAGGTCTTGCTCATTATGATGATCTCACTGCACTACGGTTCTTCGTTAGGTCAGGCGCGAGACATCGCAAAGTCATAAAACGAATGAAGGCTCATTCAACTGAATCCCAGGATGGGATTGGAGCGAGCGCGCGACATGCCTGGTCCCGACAAGGAAAGAGCGATCGGAGACGCGACCGGGGATTATCCAAGCCAAAGAGTGGTAAGACGAAGTAGATCGTAGCCCGCAGGTAAAGGCTTTCATGGAACATTAACCGACAACACACGCTTCACAGTCTCATCATACCTCCCTCCCCCCCCCTCCTCTTAAACCTGTGAAAGGGGAGGCCCTCATTCTGTACGTGTGCTCTCTCCCTGTGTCCAGTCCTTCATTTTTTATAATTCATGCGGATGGGCTCGTGGAATCAATGAACTCCGGATTACGTTCCCTGTTGTCCCTTAGCGTACGAGGGTGCTGACAAGAAAGGAAAGGAATTTGAATCGGAAGAGTGTGTTTGCGGACTACTTATAGGTCACAGTGAAGGGTGGAGAGTTCCTAGCGACGCCTGGCGGAATATGATTGCACCCAAAGCCTCATAGAGCGACGCACAGAGAGCTGCTCATCTGAACACAGCCCCCCCCCGCGACTACACCATTCACCTATTCCCTCTCTTGACGCATTCTGGGAAAAAATTCAATCGTATTCAGAATCGATATTGGCGACTGGGAAGACACTCGGAATCTTCTCAATGAGCGAGAAACCAGCATCGAAATTACGAGCATGGGACTGCCAATCGAAAAAGGAAGGCGAGGAAGGAATGAAGGGAAACGGGGTGAATGTCATCCAAGGAGGAGGGTGACGCTCCTATTCCGATTATTCCGAGTATTCGGAATGGCCACCACGATGGGCAATTGTCCTCCCATGTCATCTCCTTCTGCCAGTAACTTCTCCTTAAGTGTCTCCACTGCGTTCTTGGACGAGGGCCTCACCGCTTCGCTGCTCTGCCTGATGAGCTCCAAGGGGATGTCATACTTTCTTGTAATGCAGGCATTAAGTAATGGGACATTAGAAACTGCTGAATATTGATGAAGGGACGAAGACTATGAAATGGTTACCAGCGAAGCACGCGTCGTGTCCATTTGAATCCCAAACTTTTTTTTTATTTCTTTTTTCGGGGATTCGCCACACTTCGAAATGCAGCATCCGCCTTGCATTTCTCTAGCCCCATTGCCTGGGCCTCGATGGGGCAAGTGTTTTTTAAGGGTATGCTGATTGTGCCTGCTTCCGTGCGCACTGTCTCTTGTGGAGAGGAGGAACTGCAACGAGTGCAAGAGAAACATGAAAGCCATGCCATAACTACATGCGGAGTAACATGTTACCTCAGAGCGGAGGAATTAACCAGTAGTCAAGTAGGAAATATTTGGGAATTAAACCAGTTGCCTCTCCCCAAATAGGTACGAACGTGACATGCACTTGAAGAGGTCAAGGCCACTTTCACCCTATCCATCCAACTGGGATCCATGCCTCGGGGTTGCATACAATGACATCGGCGCCCCGCCGAACACATACGGCGTCTGGGTCGACACAGTCGGCACCGACGCTGGCAGCGTCGTCGGCGGGTACAACCGCGAGATCAGGGTCCCCGACGTCATCCCACGCTGAGGAGCCCGACACCGGACCCTGATGACAGCAAGAACGTCACATTTCCACAGATTGGAAGACGAAGTAAACCTTAGCTCTCATGGAACTTTAACCGACAGCTCCTTACACTCCTCTCTTACCTCCCTTTCTCCCCCCCCCCTCCTTTTAACCCGTGAAAGGGGGAGCCCTCATTCTGTAAGTGTGCTCTCTCCCAGTGCCCAGTCCTTCATTTTTTATAATTCATGCGGATGGGCTCGTGGAATCAATGAACTCCGGATCAAGTTCCCTGTTGTCCCTTGGCGTACGAGGGTGATGACAAGAAAGGAAAGGAATTTGAATAAGAAGAATGGGTTTGCAGGCATCTTAAAGGTTATGGTCAAGGGACGAAAGTTCCTAGTGACGCCTGGCGGAATATGATTGCACCGAAAGCCTCCTAGAGCGACGCACAGAGAGCTGCTCGTCTGAACCCCTCACGATTACGCCATTCACCTTGTGCCTCTCTCGACGCATTCTGGGAAAAAATTCAATCGTATTGAATTTTTTCTCAGAATGGAAAGACACTGGAATGGAAAGACTGGGAAGACACTCGGAATCTTCTCAATGAGCCGAGAAGCCAGCATCTTCGAAATGACGAGCATGGGAATGCCGATCGTCAAAAGGATGGCGAGGAAGTAATGAAGGGAAACGTGGTGAATGTCATCAAAGGAGGAGGGGAGGCGCTCATTCCTGAATAAGCGCTGCCATTGCAGGCTTCCAGGTTATGGGTACCTTGCTGGATAGAGTTGAGGATGAAAGTGAGGTCAATTTCAATACGGGCATGTGGGAAAGAGGAAATACCTCTCCAAGGATGTACTAGAAGAAATGAATGGTGCAAATGAGGCTATGGCGGTGGAAGTGAATGATCCATTCAATCACGGAATAGCTGTTGACTCGATATATGCAACTGAAAATCTTTTTCTTTAGGGACGGAGGAAAACACAGGTGTTGCTAAGGCGGTGCTTAGTAGACGGTGAACGGGGATTTCATTCGTGATCGTGCAGGCGACGTGTCACGACAGATCCCGACATTTTTGCTTCCAGCGAAGCGAGAAACCAGGTAACACGATCACTGCAGATACCCTATCTTCTCCTCACTCCCCATTTAATATGCACCAGGTCGCAACAATTGAATTTAGAGAACTGCGGAGGAAAAGCACAATCGCCACCCGTAAACATTAATTTCTCTTAGCAGCTTAATCCCTTCCCGTATCCATTTCAATCATGGCCTGTCCCTCACCCAACACAGCCCTTTCGCTTTTATATGTATTACCATCTCATCTTCCATCTGATCATCCCTCTCGGTCGATCGATGCAATTGCCGTCCCCAACTTGTTACGAAAAGGCAGGTGCCATAACGCAGCTTGACTCGATGCGGTTCCATCCGGATCGCATCGGCATTTCCTATCGAACTCCCTTCGCCCCTCACCTTCATCCTCAACTCTATCCGAACGAGGAAGGTTCCCACAACCTGGAAGACTGCAATGGTGATGCTCGATCAGGAATGAGCGCCTCCCCTCCTCCTTGGATGACATTTACCCCGTTTCCCTTCCTTTCTTCCTCGCCTTCCTTTTGACGATCGGCATTCCCATGCTCGTAATTTCGAAAATGCTGGCTTCTCGGCTCATTGCGAAGATTCCGATTCCCACAATCTGGAAGACAGCAACGTTAGCTTTTAATCCCCAATGAGCATCTCCTTTCTCCCCTTGGAGGGCATGCACCCCATTCCCGTTCCTTCCATCCTTGTCTTCTTTTTCTTCCTCTTCGTCCTTTTTTGACATCCTTTTGACGATGGGCATCATCATACTTATTTTCCAGCTCAATAAAAAAGATTCCAAGTCCCTCCAATAACCAATTTCCAACCTGAAAACGATTACATTTTCTTTCTAGGTGGCTTCAAGAACTTCTGAAGGGCCCACGCCATTTTCCTCTTCATTTTCCCACAGCCTCCTTAATATTGTCAGTCAAGAGTTGTCAGTCAAGAGTTGTCAGTCAAGAGTTGTCAGTCAAGAGTTGTCAGTCAAGAGTTGTCAGTCAAGAGTTGTCAGTCAAGCCGGTATTCCTTCTCAGTGTGTCACGAGAGTGGTTCTGGTGTGACTGGGATGAGGCCTTTATAGGGCTGAGCAATGTGGGCAGATTAATGATTTTTAGCAGCAAATGGCACTGTCACGATTCGCAAATCTCCTTTTTCGCTGAATGCAAAAAACCTGATACGATAAAATAAATGAATTAGGACACTTGAAAAACGTATTAAAAATGATTTTAAAAATGCAATTTGAGGCAAAAAAAAATGTTTGAAATAAAATAATAATTTGGTCGCAGAACTTTCCACTGATCTCTATTTATATTAACGTTTATACATATTTTCACGCCAGATTGCTTCACGCCAAGTTTTTTTTTCCATGAAACTTGCCGCATGTCATGAACAATTGCCACTGATTCAAATGCCTGGTTAATTACTCACTGCTCAGTAATTAGGAAGGATTCCACACCATTTTGCGATAAAATGATGAAATGGAAAATTTTCCACAAAAAAAATGCTTTTCGCTCTTCCTGGAGAGAGGAACTTTTTTTGCAGGGCCATTGAGTTGCTCCAGCCGATTCTTTGGGAAATAAATTTTGCGCAACTCATATTTGGCAAACGAAGACCAAAGTGTTCGTATGCGATCAGAGGGAAAAATTGCGATTCCTTCGCTGAAATTTCTCCGAATCCGCTTAATTGTTGTCACGGATCACTAAAGGTGATTATCTTTTAAGTAGAATTTCGCTTGTGCCTTTCTGCAATTTTCCGAAAGGCAGTACGAAAGGAAGCGCTGGTTTGATGAGAGGGAGAATTGCGTGGAGGTAATGAAATGACGGATTTCAGGCGATTAAATGACTTCGCGAATGATGGTCACGGTATGGTCACGACTCAACATCCTGTGGTGCTTCCAATCGATGACTTAACATTCGGTGATGAGTCATGTTTGCCGATAAACGTTGGTGATGAAGTTATGTGCTTTGCATGCGTGATTCTAATATATATATACGATCGTGACTGACTGACTGACTGACGCTAATTCTAACCAAGTTCTAGAAGGGTTAGAAATCTGAAACTAGGTACACATGTACCTTATGGGATGCAGAGTTCAGAAATAATCCGACTTTGGAAGTACATGCCCCGGTGGTACACCTTTTGAGGGGAAACGTTATTCTTAAATATATATTGTGAGAAACGAGAATGGCATTCAGAGATTCAACTGGATGTCCTGGGTTCGGTGGTGTAGTAGTAGCATATCTGACCGACAAACAGGAGGTCCGAGTTTTATTCCCGGCCATTCCTTGGCTTTCTTTTGGCTTCTTTTGCCTTCCATGTCCCGTTATTCATTCACCCTCCAAAGCATTATTTTTGCTTGAGTAAAACGGAGAGAAATCATTTTATCGCAAAATGGTGTGGAATCCTTCCTAATTACTGAGCAGTGAGTAATTAACCAGGCATTTGAATCAGTGGCAATTGTTCATGACATGCGGCAAGTTTCATGGAAAAAAAAACTTGACATGGAGGTGCCTACGGAGACGATGAGTTCAGGAAAAATGCAAAAAACTTGGTACATAACTACCTATTGGCTTGCGGCAGAAAAATTCAGACTTTGGAAGTAAATGCTCAGGGGGCACAAATTTCCAAGGGAGAAGTTTTCATATAATTCTTTTGCATCTGTTAAACTGATGAACATGGAAAACTGGAACTTAGTATGAATGTGACTACCGAGACAAGGAGTTAAAGAAAAATGTTAAGTCTCGATACATCCTCTGTGGGAATTTTTTCGAGGGACGATGTTTTTGAAAAAAAATTGTCTTTGTGAATTGGACAGAAACGGAAAGGTGAAACTTGGCAAACGTATAAGCGACATGATATTACTGAGCTGAGAGAGTATATTCAGCTTTCATGGCGCATCCATCCGGGCATTGCTTTTGGGTGGGTCGGCTTTTTCAAGCATGTTTTTTTTACCAGCGAATAGGGCGAAAGTATAATACTGAAATTTTGAGGACATGTAGTTCACTGATGATGGATTTCGGTATTAAAAAAATAGTAATTTTCTGAGCTGAGCAACAAAAAATATACTTTTATTATTTATAGACGATCGTGAGTTGTTGACTAACTGACATAAATAGCTATTCGGATGCTGAGTTCAGGAAAAGTTCTACTTCGGTGATGTATGCCATAAGGGCACGCCTTTTGGGGAACATATTTTCAAATAGTTCTCTTTGCTTCAATCAAACGGAGACACATGGAAATCTGAAACTTGGCAAGAATGTGACTGTTGACGCACTGAGCTGAAATATCAAACGTCAAATATCTAAAACATTTTTGGGGTTCATATTCCTTGGGGTCGTAACCTTTTTTAAATGATTTTTTCTTATCCTACCGAATCGGGTAGAAATGGAAAAGTAGCTGGCGCACATATAACGGACGTGATGTTGATTTAAGGAAAAATTCAACTTTTGTTGTGCGTCTCCTCAGAGCACAGCTTTTGGGTGGGTCGCTTTTCCAATTACATTTTTTTTCCTACAGCAAAAAAAGGGAAACGTATAAGGCTGAAACTGGGCGGCATGGAGTTCCCTGAGTCTACATTTCAAAAGAAAAAATTTTCGTTAAAACCCATCATGACAGTTTTTTTTAAAGTCCCATTTTCCTGAATTTTTTTTTGATCCAACGAAACAGGGACAGAAAATTTAAACTTCCCTCAGAAGTACCTTTTTGATGGCTAAGTACAATAAAAATCCTACTTTTTAAATATGTCTCCTTAGCATAGATTATTGGAGGGAAGTATTTAAAAATGTATTTTCCACCCTTACCAATAGGGACACAAGAAAATATTTTAAGTTAGGCACACATTGAATCATAGAAGTAATGATTTTGATAAAAATCAAGACTTTCGACCCCATATGTCATGTATTTCAATGGGGACGTACTTTAAATACGAGTTTCCCATTCCGCAAGAAATGAATGAATTAATGACTATCCTAGGTAATGGATCGCCGAAGGCGCGACCATAGCGAGTTTATAGTAAAACTATGAAGGCTATTTTCTTTTATTCCTCGATATGGAGCAGCCGAATGTTGGCACTCGTCCGCAAATTGGCATTTCGCACTGAAGACATCCGGTTGGCAAAAAAATTTTCCGGTTTCAACGCGAAACGTACGATGTGAATGTAGGAAAAAGTCGATGCGTACATCTTTCTTGCACAAAAGCTCCGCCGCGAGGGGATTCCAGCATACTTGCACGGTCGCGGGGAAGTGGAGCGAGAGAGGAACGCATGTCGTTCCAGGATGATTCGACTCCATCGCGGAAAGCTGAAGGAGATGCTTGTCATGTCGGCGAGCAATTTCCCGGGCCGACTTGCTCCATCATGCTCCCCGGTTTTCCCTTTCTTCGGGCTCTCTATGGACTCAAAGGAGGAAAACGACCTCGTGCCTTCGCTGCGACATCCACCCTTCCCACCCGCCGGATCCTTCCGTCATGTTCGTCTGCGCCCTGCTGCTCCTCGGCGGTTTCCTCGTCCTCCTCGTTCTGCTCAAGATCGAGTGCGATCCCGCGCTCTATTTCTACAAGTACTTCGGGAAGAAGCCAGGTCCTCTCCCTCTTTTTTTTCTCCGCATCTTTAGAATATTCTCATTCCTTTTGCTGTCACTTCTGTAACATGCCTGAATAGTAACTTCATTAGTGGTCATTTTGAAAGCTACATTCTCCAAAGAAGTACATAATCTTTTTAACCCGCTAAATAATTGTTTTACATTTCTTGGACACTATGTTCACGAATCCATAAAAAAAAACCCATAAATTATTTATTTATTTGAAAACTTCATTCAGAGACGCTGCGGGGGAAGGTGGTATGGATAACGGGCGCCGGGTCGGGGATCGGGCGGCAGCTGGCCGTCTCCCTGGCCCAGGTCGGGGCCAGGCTCGTCCTGCACAGCCTGCCGGGGGAAGACCTGGACGCCGTGAAGGGGCGCTGCCTCCGTGAGGAAACGACGGGAGCCGTGGTATTTTATTTATTAATTTATCATTATCACTATTATTTTTTTTAAGGGATTGCGCGGGGTTGCCTGAAGGATGAAGACGTCCTCGTCCTCTACGGCGACGTCGCCGATATCGAGATGCACGAGAAGTGGGTGGACCAAGTCTTGAAGCATTTCAGCAAGGTATGCATGGAATCGGTTGAATTTCATATAATATATTTTAAATGTGTGTTTTCTGGTGATTTTCTTGGAAACATGACTAATGTGATTTATATTTCTTTTTGTTTGTATTTGAGTGAATTAAATACTATGCGAGTATTAAATTAAGCTTGGCTTAATTTTGAAATGCAGGAATGAGTTTCGCTCTCTCACACTGCAAAACCCATTAAATTCTATCCAATCAGTTGTTCCCTCATTAGAAAGGAAAAAAAATTCCCGTAGAGCTGTGCTGACGCGCAAGATATTCCAGGGCCAAAATTGCATTTGTGGGAGCAACCAGTTATGATTATTGCAGCAATGGCCTTGGACTTTTTGACGTCCACACTAGCAAGTAAAAGACCCTCCGGAATCCAGGCAATCCCTAATCACCGGATTATCCGGTCGAATCGCTTTCCCCAGGTGGACATCCTGATCAACAACGCAGGGATCGGGGCATTCCAATCGGTGCTGGAATCCCCATGGAGCGCCATCAGGCGGCTATTCGAGGTGAATCTCTTCGGGAACGTCGGCCTGGCCAGGGCCCTCCTGCCCCATTTCAGGCAGAGGAAGGCGGGGCACATCGTCGTGCCATCCAGCGTCCTCGCCTTCCTCCCCATCCCCAATGCCTCCGCTTACGGCGCCTCGAAACGGGCCATCCAGGTGAGCGCGCAGAGATGCAGTTTTTTTTTTCAATCAACTCCGAATTTAACCATTTTTTTTATTTTTTTTATTTAATTTTAATTTTTATATTAATCTCACTCATGATCCTTATTTCGTCGGGCAAGGATGGATTCGAAATGACTTAATACATTTGATGTCTGAAGCCAGACATCAAGCGTTTAAAGTCCGGACATCCTTCCAATGTATTTAGCAAACTCTCGGATTCCTATACTGAGCTAATACTGAGCTAACCATCCGCCACGGACTGAATCGCTCCCTCTTTCTCCGCAGGGATTCTACGACACCCTCCGGGCGGAGGAGGTCGGGCACGGGGTCAAGGTCACCGTCCTGTTCCCCGGCTACGTCAAGACGAACATCTTCGCGAACAGCGCGACTGCGGAGGGGACCGGCGTCGACATGGTGAGCCGTATCTAAAGTTCGCGATTCTTCGGCTCCAAATGCGGAAGTTGGCCAAAGTCGCCAGAAAGGGTTCCGGACTGCAAGTTTCTTCACGGCTCTACCGCCGGTGGACCATATAAATTATATAAATATATATAAATAGAAAGATAGAAGAAAATTAAATAAAACACAATGATAATTTTTTGCACTGGCGATAATCCCACAATCCCGCAGGGGCAGCTGAGGATGTTCGAGATGCGCGTGGAGCGATTCGCGGACTGGATGCTGCTCGCGGTCGCGAACGAGATGATTTCCGCCTGCATTGCCAAGGGATGGCTCCTCTTCGTCGCCGCGTATCACTTTCCGGATCTCGCCAGACGGTAAGGACGAGTCTTTATTTACATATTTTTGTTAAATGTGTGTAGTCGTTTTTGCCATCGGTTAAATATTTATTAATGAGGAATGTGTCGTGCCAATCCTATTCTGCACATTTTGGAAAATTTATTTTGCACGTGCAACAAAATTTATCAACTTCATTTCGTCGTACGTTCAGATTTCGTCGCACGTTCAGATTTCGTCGCACGTTCAGATTTCGTCGCACGTTCAGATTTCGTCGCACGTTCAGATTTCGTCGCTTTGTTCTGTTCCACCTCGTAGATGACGTCTCTAGCGACCTGACAGCAGAGGAGATAGATCGGTAACGATGTGGCATGAGATGGAACCATTTCCCTGAAATTCCAAGTTCATCGAACCAATCGACGTGCGATCGCTCGCTCGACCCCGAATGTTTAAATCTCGTCGCAAAAACTTGAAGAAAAAAAAGCGAAAATGGAAAACCGAAGCAAGATCTCCCAACAACACGAACTTGTCAAACTGCGGTCAACTAGTTAGTTTATGGGAAAAGGCCTGTCGAGAAGGAAGAAATGTTGCTGTGAGAATGTCACGTCGGTCTTTGATGTCGTTGGTAACTGGTAACTGGTAACTGGTTTAGCGGATTGCTCGGTGCCTTCTTTCGCACTCTCACCGGCGGTTTCCTTGCGGTTTCCTGGAGGAGTGGGTTAATCCGACACAACAGAATTAGATGAATTTGAATTCCTGGATTCGTCGAAAAATCGCCGATAAACTCTTGATTATCTGCAAAATATCTCTGATAAACCCAACAGAAGAAAGATGAAACTCCGCAAAAGTGTGCGAATTTCCACGCCAAACCCCATGCGAATCGTCCGTTCAGCTGTTTCTCTTTTTGCATGCCTGCACGGCTAGCCAGAAAAGGTTTTAATCTAAACGTGCAGAATTGGATTAAACCGAGATATGGCACTTGTGGCTGGCTATATTTTAAGACTGGGTTCGAGTTTCATCAATCTCTTTTTTTTTGTATTATTTTAATATTATGACTCTTCCAGGCTCACGGTGACTACAAGCGAGACGTTCGTGAACGCCCTGAAGAAGAGCGAGTGACTGGCGTCCCTTTCCATTTCGTTTTTCTCTTTGCTAATCGATTGCCATGAAATTGCTAATCAATTGCCACAAAATTGCTAATAAATTGCGACAAAATTGCCAATCAATCGCCACAAAATTGTTAATCGATTGCCATAAAATTGCTAATCAATTGCCATAAAGCACGACTGCTGTTCGGAAGGAGGCTGAGGCGGTCTGAAGCACTCGGGAGAAATATCGGGGAAAATATTGATATATTAACGGAATGCGCTCATTCCGGAGAATTTTTCGCTTCTGGTGATTTCGGAGACCGAGGAGTGACAGCTTTCTGTTTCAAAGGATTTAAAAATCATGAAATGAAATTCAATTTTAAAAGACGTTCATTGAACCTAGGCAGGAAAAAAATTTATTTCGGTTTATCCTCGCGCTTCCCTCTCCTTCCCACATTTCAAAACTGCCACCCATCGTACAAACGCTTATTTTTGCACGACTTGAAACAAATGCTAATAAGTCCTAAGTCAAGAGAATTTCGGAAGACGAAATATCGTCTCGGGAATTCTCTCCTGAAATAATACCATTTCTCGTCGAAAATGTTTCCTTTGCGAACGCGTGATGAGGAATGCAACGATCGGGAGAAAGATTTCCCGATGAAGGGATTTTTTTTTAATGCGATAATATTGTGTCAACATTGATAAATTGTTGAGACGCTGAGACACGGTTGAAGTGGAGAATTCGGCGAAGAATCGACAGCAGTTGAAAGCCGACAATCCGGAAATAACAGCATTCTCGACTGCTCTTGAACGTCTTTAAATGTTTCACCTTGGTTTTAAAAAGAGAAAGGATCACCGGGCCGGCCGACTGTTGGCGGCAATCGTTTGTCTTCCACTTCAAGGCGATCGAGAAGACAATTACCCCATAAGTAATCGTTTCGCGGGCGTGAATCATGGGCGAGCTGACTCTGAGAGCTGACTCTTCGTCCACGATAAAAGGGAGGAATTCACAAATTTGGCTATCTTCAGGGCCGAACAGCTGGTCCTTCTCAACAGCACCATCACCAGTGTCGTCATTCGTCCCGAAATACAGAACACGGAGGAGAATCCCTGCCGACTGGATGAAGGCTACAGCTGCAAGAGGGTGAGTTTGAGCCAATATTTTTTCAAAATTATGGGCACAATTTCATCCATTGGGATCATTCTATGATTACTCGAATATTTAACCTGACATAATGCCTTGTAAGTGAATATACCGACTCCATAATATAAAAAATATCATTGCCGTATTTAAACCTCCCCAAGCCGTTCTCTATTAATGGATATGAGCAAAGATGCTGCCCGCATCTCGTCTCATGCCGGGACCTTACGATGCCATTCACTGACTCATCAAGGCTCTTTTCATGGGCGAATCGACAGCCCCGAGTGGTTCCTTGTTCTGAGGGAAAGAATTTCTTTGCCTCTCGCTCAATATGGCTCTGCCTTGTCATAAACGGGGAAAGGTTCAATACGAAGGAACTTTCGATTCTGCTTGCAGACTCCAGGAAATCCGTCCAGCCGGCTGCAGGAAGATCTTTCTCTTCTTTCTTGACATTCAACCATACCTTCCGAGGTAGTAATGGAGGACCAGTGGTCCTCCATGATATAACTAAAAACACTTTAAACAAACATCCTCTCAATGAATTTCTCAGAAGACGAGCATGAATGTAAGCTGCATTGAGCTAGAGCAGCACCACAGGAAGAGCAGCGCATGCCTTACTAGACCTTAGTCTTCATTTGTCTATGATAAAAGAGAAGGAATCTGTCATCCGACTGTCACATTTGAATCATGCTGGATTTGATCTCTAGTGCATGGAGAACTGCTTCTGGAAGGCCTGCAGTGTCTGATTCCCTCCCTCCTGCCCAAGGAAGCAAACGAAACCGGAATGCCAGGATTCGCAGAATACAGAGAGGATGGGCGAGGAATTGCTCAAGATCTTCGATGGTGAAGAAGACAAACCTGCAATCGACAGAATGGCCACTTCATCCTCGAAGTGGATGGGTAAATGCAATTTTCCAAAGAGGTGCAACGTGATCGACTATCGCATCTCCGGAGATCCAGCCTCAGCCTGTCAATGAACGCAAGGGATGGCCTATCTTTCCTTCATTTCCCCCTCAAATCGAGTGCGTCCCCTGTCTCTTCCTTACTCTTGTCTCTCCGGGGGAAGAAAAATAACCCTTAATCGATTTTTGGATTCCCTGCCAGGTCCCACACCTTCAGGAGAAGGAGAAAGCGACTCTACTCAGGTCGCTTTCTCCTTTCTCCAATATTGAGAGAGGGGAGACTAAGGTTTCCCCTCTCTCAATATTGACGCGAAATCGCCAAAGAAACAACCCAGGAAACAATACAAGACATTCCTGGCCTGAATGTGCGGAAGTCGTTAATTCTAAATTTCGCGAAAATTCCAAGAGTAATGGATCAACACCCTCGTCCTATCTGGACCTTAATCAACTAAGAACCGAGAAACGCTCCCTTATCAATGTTTTTTTTTATGTTCGAATGACATTCTGTCGTTGGTGTCCATCACCCTCATCTCCTAATGGAAAGCAAACACTGATCCATTGACCCATCGCCGTATTGACCCATTGCCCTCCTGACCTGTTCCCATGGCATTTTTTTTGAGATCATGAGCTGCTATTGCGAGTTGTGAGCGTGACCTGATTCCTCCTCTCACTTCAACCCGGTAAGAAAATTTCCCAATCCTTGATTTGAAGTCGATGTCAAATTTTCAGACGAGGTAGAGCCTCAATCTCAATGCATTATCCTATGCGTTAGGGTCGGAAACTTAAAATATATCGTGTCGAGGCGCGACGACACACCCCGGCGTGTTCGAGGGAATATACACAACCCTGTTCTCTTGGGGATACTTGATGCTGTGGAAACTGTAATTTTTTTCTCTTGGAAGTTGATGTTTTCCACACGAAACACCAAAAAGGCAACGAAGTCCTGATGAAAATTTTCCTACTTCAGGAAGAACAAAGATTTCCTTGAAGGCAGTCAAATATATTGCAAGCAGAGTATTGATTTCTTGCGATGCATGGTGCAGAGTTTAACAAAAAGAGGAAAAGGTGTGTTCATTTTTCTCCAGTCGTTTTAGCACAGGAGCAAAAACGCGAAGGCAACTCGAATTTCATTTTTTGAAGCGCATCAATCTCGGGTCAGAGCTTCTCCGTCTGCCCACAAAAATTGCTGCTTTCTACTAAAGGATAGGGTAAGGCAGAATTTAAAAAAATGACTTCCCTGTAAATAGTGAAAAAAATGCAGGCCTATTGATAAGTGATTGATACGCCAGCTGTGAGAAACCGGTTCATCTGAGAGGAAGAAAGGGAGCGGAAGACTAAAACTAGCTGGAACTAAAGGCAACTGCGTTGATGTGGAAGAGGTCATTATTTCTCAAGATGATGATCCTGACTTTCAAAATTCCATCTGCTAATTGCCAGACGTAACGACGAGTTAGGGATTCCCTTTTCGGATTTTGAGGCTCAGAGGAAAAAAAAAAAACCTTCCAAAAAATTTCTATTGATTTTGAGTGGGGGAGGGGGTCTTCTCGTAAGCGTTTAGATGCGAGTGCAAAATTCAAATTCCAGTTGCTTTTGTAAAATCACTTGTGTGCTAAACGGCTAGAGATGAACGGGATTTTTTTTTCGAATCTTAAAGACTCAACAGAGGTATGCATGAAAGAAATATCGTTGCTTGAGCTGATGTTTCAGAAGTACATTTTCCGAGAGCGCGTTCTTTTACACGGTACTTTCAGAACGGTGAAGCTGAACCGCTGGTACCATCGAAGGCACCCTAAACCAGACTTTCATGTCATTTTCTCTGAGACAAAGTTTTCAAATTAGTGCTGGCACCCCTGGGGATAAGGATACTCTGATACCGAAATGTACCAGGTAAGGTAGTTAACAGAGCGCATGAATGAATTCGAATATAAAAAGAAAGAAAATAAAAAACAAAGAAAATACAAAACAAAATAATAAAACAAAATAAAAAAAGAAAATAAAAAACAGAAAATAAAAAACAGAAAATAAAAAACAGAAAATAAAAAACAGAAAATAAAAAACAGAAAATAAAAAACAAAGGAAATAAAAAAAGGAAATAAAAAACAAAGAATATAAAAAACAAAGGAAATAAAAAACAAAGGAAATAAAAAACAAAGGAAATAAAAAACAAAGGAAATAAAAAACAAAGGAAATAAAAAACAAAGGAAATAAAAAACAAAGGAAATAAAAAACAAAGAAAATAAAAAACAAAGAAAATAAAAAACAAAGAAAATAAAAAACAAAGAAAATAAAAAACAAAGAAAATAAAAAACAAAGAAAATAAAAAACAAAGAAAATAAAAAACAAAGAAAATGAAAAACAAAGAAAATAAAAAACAAAGAAAATAATTCGTGCCCGTGAGCAGCCCCCTCCTCCACTTCCCCATTCGTCAGGCTTCACCTGAGTTCCCACAGCTAGCCCTTGTTATATCCAGAAATAGGGGCGAAACGAGAAGGTCCACAGATAGAGGTTTAGGAAGTGAGTAAAAAAAAAGCGTGAAACTCACTGCTGGAAAATACCAATGTACATAGGGCCAATGACCGGCTTTTTATTCTATTAGATGTTGACGTGAATCAAGTTCCAGCATGAAGTACAACATTCCGCTGGCATGGAAGACCGAGAAGATGGCCATGGCTATCTCAGCAGAGGAATCCCCAAGCAAATTCAAAAGTGAGGCATCATTTATTTCAAATTTAAAAAATTACTAACTTGCATGCAGAACACGATATTTCGTCCTGTTACGAAGGTCCGACCAGGACACGCAAAGTGCGGCACACCATAAAGGCAATCCTAATCGTGGCGTGCACAGCCCTCGCTGCGAAACAGGTAAACGAAACCCAGTTGATCATCTAACCCGTTGAGACTAATGGTTCACGGAATGGATCCTCAGGTGATGCTTCTAGTCGATGACTACGTCTCCTTCCCGACCAACACCCTCTACGAGATAAAGGATGTCGACAGCGTCTCGGCTCCGGCATTCACCGTCTGTCCGAGACCGTCCGTGAAAGGGGCTCGAACGTGGCCGCAGGATTTGGAATTCAAGCAATTTTTGAATGCATCAGTGGGATTGGTAAATATCGTCACGTTTGACATTTTCCGAAACAATGCATCGGTGTACTACCCAGCAGTGAACAAAGGAGAAACCACCGTTCAGTATTACGATGGTGGGCTTTCAATGCTTTCGGATGAAATCGCTCGAAAACTTCAGGGTCATCGAAGCTCTCTTTGTTCTTGCCACGCATAGGGATTGGGCATTGGAACGCTCGGATCTTTTATGGCGGGGCGCCAGGGAGCAATATGACGTATTCCAAGTGCTTCACCTTCTTCTTGAAGGACGAAATACCGACTGGACCAAGCAACTGCTATAGGCAGCATTTTCAGCTGAGCTTCAAACCTATCAGGGATTTCAAAAATCCTGAGGTGGAAAAAAATTAGTCATTCTTTAAAAAAAAAAACGAGGGAATTTCCTGGTAATCATGCCATTCCTTTAATTTCCATGAGGCTTGGATCGCACAGGTCGACGTATTCATCCACGATCGGAGGGAGAAATTTACATTCTTGGACCTTCTAAAGTCCGAGCAAGTGGTCCTTTTCGACAGGGTCGCTGTCAATATCTTCATTCGCCACGAAGTAATTCTAAAACAGAGCAGGAAGGATAATCCTTGCACCATGGATGAGGACTACAGCTACACAAATGTGAGTCGAGAAGACAGTCGAATCTACTGATGGAAAATAATATTTCGATCGGTGTATGAGGCATGCTTTAACTGGGGGAAATTTCCTTTAGTGCATGGAGATATGCTTCTGGGAAAGAGTCCAGTCAGACGAAGGCGTCGATCTCCCCTGCCTAATTCCCTCCATTCTGCCCAAGGATGCCAATCTGACAAAACCCATCTGCGAAGATCCTGAAAGCGAAAGAAATCAGCGCGAGCGGCTGTCGGCAGCCATCCAAAATGCATCAGAGCTGCTGAGCGGTTGCGACTGCCCGAAGAGGTGCAACGCGACGGTCTATCACATTTCTGCGGATCCGGCCGCCATTTGCCAGCGACAAGGCAGATTTTACGCCACAGGGGACTATACTTGGCTCTTCTTCAGCTTTCCTTCTAGTCAGGTTCGTCCTCCCATTGATACACGTAACTTCTATTTTGAGATTTAAAAAAAAAACAAAATATTAATTTTTAAATGTCATGACACTTGACAGGTGCCTAACTTTTCGGAGAAAGAGAAGGTGACTCTTTTGGATCTCCTAGCCAATATTGCTGGGATCGTTGGCATATGTCTTGGTGTTTCCCTCATCAGCATCTACGACGTCATTGAACGACTTTATTTATTCATCAACAAATTTTACTAACAGAAAAATTCGGTCATCGAATGCGAAAGACACTAATTTGATCATCATGGCTGTCATTTTATGTTTTATGTGTATATATATGTATATATTACAAATAATAGTGTTTTAGAATTAATGGATATGAAAAGGATAGGGAACATCAAAACAAACTATGGAGAGAAAAAAACAATCACAGTTACTTCAATTGCGAAGCATTGAAGAGGAATATGAGTAACAACCATCGATTCTGAAGAAATAATGACATTTTGTAACCATTGGCAGGAATGCAATCAAAATTCCTAACTGAAGTTCTTCATGCCTTTGTAAATTTGTTTCCATGAATGCTACTAGTAAACCAGAAAACCAATTATTACCATGATTACCCTCATGAAATGGGAAACGCATTCGACGTCGATCAGAAATTTGGCTGGGATTTACAGTATGTTACGAGTAGTGATGTTTCCTCCTTACTGCATTACAGGATTATATCATTGAATGACCATATAAATTCTCGAATTAGAACAACTCATCCAAAGCCTTACATTGAAACTACAACTTGAATCTCTTGCATTAGCTTAATAATAGTCACCTACCTGCAGATACTCGCATTTGTCGTAAAATTCACATTGACCGAAGTATTAAACAGTGACTTGAAATAAACTGGGAATTACAAGTATCACATTTAGTGTGGTAAATGCTGATAGGTTGG